TTGAATTTACTTAGCAACTTTTAATTTTTACTAACTTTTGGCTTTTTTTTTGTTATTTGTTCGAATGTTTTTTATTGTTGGTGCGCCGCACACCTTAGCTGGCCTTATTGAAGTGATTATCTACAGTTCACCAGATGATAAGAAGAAAAATCGTGGATTCTGCTTTCTCGAATACGAGTCACACAAAGCTGCATCGCTGGCAAAACGAAGACTTGGTACTGGTAGAATTAAGGTAAGTGAAGATTGTAGATGTATGTGTGTATGTACAGTGGCACACATTCCTTTCTCAATGGATAACTCACATTAAATTCTAGCTCATATTGTTCGTCAAACTATCGGCAGTTTATAATGTATGGAAAAGTTTGTTTTCGTTATTGTTGTAATATTTAAATGATTGTATTGCAAATATTTTACTAAAAACCGGTACATATTCGTTTAAATGCACCTGATCAAGGAATTCGAAAGCATATTAAGGGATTGAAAAAATAAATAGGTTTTTGCCTTAAATTGAGCATTGGTAAGTTATTGATAAACGACTTAAAATTTATTGTGAGTAAGAGTGCGTTTATAGGAATGTGTGCCACTGTATGTACATTCGAACTTGTGATTTTTTTAGATAGTTTTTTTTTTAGCGGAAGTAACAAAAATAGTTACATACAAAAAATATGTATATTATTAAACATCATTTACCTCGTCAAAACCGGGGCATGGACAGAGAGAGAACAGGTGCACAAAAGAGAACAATTCTTTAAAATATTTTCAAAATTTAATAACGGCCTGTTCCGGTCGAAATTGGACCGCTTCCGTTCGAAATTGGAAGTCGGTAATCACCAAAAGCTGGAGAGTCCCCGACTTGCTGGTTCGTGTTTTTTTCCTTTTCTAATAAAAAACATTTTCGTCAATTTTAGACGTCCAGCAGTGGAATTCTGACAATCGCCACGTTAAATTTCCATCGCCAAAATTCTCTAAATGAAAATCAATGGGGCCTAAAAGCACGCAATACAAAAGTAACATATGCAATGTGAAATCAACCAAAGCTGGTAGTATTAGGAGCATATAACTAGGTGATGCATGTAGTTAGACGCGCCTGCTATTCCTTTGGAGATATTTAGCGGTCAAAATTAGGTACAACGAATGTTGGAATCCGGCTGCAGGACGAGTTGAAGCTCGAAGACCATGTAAATGTTGAAAACTTCCGAGAAGAAAGCTTCAAATAAAAGTTATGTTATAAAAGTTATGCGCAAAATCCGAATCTGCGTTAAAAATAAAAAATTGTATAAATTATTTAAATACATACATACATACATAATATGTAACTAACATTTCTTAAAAACTACTTTTTTCCCATTAATTTGGTTTTCAGAAACAAATCCGTCTTTGTTTTCTAAGCTTAAATCTACAATTTGGATATTTAGCTTTAAGTAGTCTTTAATTTATAACGTTTTTTGCTTCTNCCTTTCTATTAATGCCATGAGCTTTATAGCCATTTATGAACTATTGATAGGTCGGTGGTTATGCAAGGTTAACACTTATCTTCTGCTTTTCAATGAAAAACTTTATATACACACAAATAATGTGTACTGGCGTTTCTTCATTCAGCTAATATAAACGGCAGACGATCGTGTCTGAGAAATTCATTTTACTGAGTTGATAATGCAGGGATCAATGTCCCGTGAAGAACCCTGCTTAAATTTATGGACTGCTTGTGATGGCCAGATAAACCGCTTAGCTTTTCTTTGCCCTGGACGTTTACTGCAGTGTCTGTAGAACTTTTTGTTCACCCACTTGTTTGTGACCTCCTTTGTATGGATTTGGTATCTCCTTAATTTGCTAGGCTGTCCGCCTATTCATTGTCATCGTGGCGCCCATGCCCTGGCACTCATCATAGTCATACCGTGTTCTTGGTTCCAAAAGCATTTACGATTCTGAGGCAGTTATTCTGACTGTCCGACATAATATAGATGTTTTCAGAAGCTGTGCCTTCCCAATGAGGCATTCCCAATTACGCTAGAACGTTCATGTAATCCGTCATATTTCCGGTTTTTAATTGCCACTCTTCTAGTCCAATATGCAACGATGAGCAAGGAGAGCTTTTATCCTATGACCGCCTAAATCAGTTGCAACCAAGACATACCACAGGGGGTAAGCTTTTTCAAAGCTTCTTTTACGTTTTATTTGGACGTGCACATAATAAAAGCTCCATCAAACCATCACTGGCCCAAATAAGTGTCATAGAGAGCTTTTACTCTGTGATCTTCTATGTCAGAGCTGACCATTTCACAAGCACGGATGCCAAGTTTTGTTAAAGCTTTTTATGCATTTTTAGGGGCAACAAAACTAGAGTAAAAAAGGTCTCTCTGGTCATTGGAGTAAAAGCCCCGCCCAAGTAAATTTAGGTGCCTAAAGCGAACATATTAAGTTGATTCACGCAATTCCCTCGTCCGCTGTTAAATTCGTTTTGGAGGGAAACTGGTTTTGACCTTGTGACTTCTTTAGTGGCCTGCCAAAAAATCATTAAATTGAAAAGTGGCCAATTGGAATGGGCCTATGTAAACTCCTTTACTTTTACCCTTACCTCTATAATATTTAGTGCATTCTGCTGAATGCTGGTACGTTCGATCAGCATGCCCGCGAATGACTGTTTTTCGTCCATTGCCAGTTGAACCCTCTTTCATACAAATCTATGAAAAGTATTAAATATCTGCATATTTTTTCCCCCATTTTAGCTATGATTTACCAACCAACTTAATAACGAAATCAATTGAAATTTTCCATTTAGGTTTGGGGATGTGATATCATTGTCGACTGGGCCGATCCGCAAGAGGAACCAGACGAGCAAACAATGTCAAAGGTTAAAGTCTTGTACGTGAGAAATTTGACACAGGATGTTAGTGAGGAGAAATTAAAGGTAATTGATACTCGTTTTGAATTATCCTATGATTTATTTTTATTATTTGAATCTCACATATCACAAAACCAATCAACTAACCATCCTTTTGAAATTCAGGAGCAATTCGAGCAATTTGGCAAAGTTGAACGCGTCAAGAAAATCAAAGACTATGCCTTCGTACATTTCGAGGATCGTGACAGCGCCGTGATTGCAATGCGCGGTCTCAATGGCAAAGAGATCGGTGCTTCCAATATTGAGGTAAGCTACTAATATTTCTATGTCACTTTCCTTTTTGTATTGATACAAAAAAAAAATNAAAATTAAATACCCGAAATCTACCGCTATATGGTAAGCAGGGGTGGTGTTACCCCTGTTTTAAACATATTCGATAGAACTTAAGTTAGACATAGTGAGATAAACTTATATAGTCATATGTGGGCGGTATCACGCCCATTTTCGAAAACTCCAAATATTTTTTTTTCTTTTTAAGGGATTTTTGTTAGTATCATTTTTGAGTAAATTAGCGTTCTTCAATTTCAAATTATCGAAGTTTAAAGCATATATGAGAGGTGCCGTTATATGCAAAGTGCCCGTAATTTTAGTCCGATTTCAATAATTTTCAACGCTTTGCTTTTATGTGGCAAGCACAATAACTGTACCGAGTTCGGTACTAATTGGTAGAACGGTTACCGATATACATTTTCCAAAATTTTATCATAAACGTATGTTTAGGTAAAAAAATATTGTAAGCATCAAATTTTCATAAATTAGCTTTAATATTTACAGATTTATCGAAGATTTCGTATTTCTCTAAATTGCCGCTATATGGGATGTGGGCGTGGATATTGTCCAATTTTAAAAATTTTTGGCCATTTTATATGTTGTACTAAGGCCGACCACTGTGCCAAGTTTACGAGAAATTGGTGGCAAGGGTCGTGGCTACGCCCATTTTCTAAAAATTTTTCCTCTAAAACGCATAGTAAATATTAATTTTGAGCCAATAATCTTCAGTAGTTACTAAAATATCGCAGTTTTCGTATTTCTGAAAACTACCATTATATGTGAGGGGTAGGCGTGGTTATTGTCCGATTTTGTCCATACCATTCAATACCATTCGTCCTACGTCCGAAAGAAGTATACGTACTAAATTTCGTTAAGATATCTCAATTTTGAATCGAGTTATCGTGTGCACAGACGAACGGACGGACGGACAGTCACCGCTTAATCGATTCCTCTTTTCATTCTGATCATTTATGTATACATTTGTCTATATCTATCTTTTACCCTTGTGCATAAGTGCGCTCGGGTATAAAAATCAATAACAACCATAACTTTTCACTAGAATGCTTCGCGTTTGCAGGTGTCGCTTGCCAAGCCACCATCGGATAAGAAGAAGAAGGAGGAAATCCTACGCGCTCGCGAACGTCGCATGATGCAAATGATGCAAGGACGTCCCGGTCTGGTCGGGTAAGTGTAGCTAAATGGCAAAATGCACGCTATATACATAATACATACTACATATAATCGAAATTATTTTACATCCATGCATATGTCATTTATACACTAATTTTGTTATCACCTTATTGGCGTGTCAAAATTCAAAAATTTCAAATCTCCAAAAATTTACTAACCCTTTGTGAATTTTCCCTTTGCATATCGGCTTTATGCTGCCCGATTGCTAGCGGCAGCTTCGGACAAAACAAAAAAAAAACAAAAAAAGAAATCCAAATTCACTGCCACTAATTGTGGTGGCAGCAGTGCATCATCCTTAACCGTTTGTACTCGTACATATTTGTTTTTAAATGCAATTTGCAATTTTTTTAATTAATTTTATATTCTCTCTCTCTCTCTCTCTCTTTCTCTTTTTCACTCCGCACTCGATTATCCAATGAAACTCACTCAATTGAATTTTTGCGCGCGTTCACATATGCATATATGTATGTGAAAAATAACCACACGAACAACAACAACAACAACAACAAATATAACAAAATACCCCAAAATGTTAAACAAATAATAAACAAACAAAATAACCAAAAACCAACTACAAAATACATATTAACCGCAAACAAACAACTGTTATTGCTAATGTATATACATATATGTATTGTTGCACTGGTCTGCAACCCGCGGTCCGTTGTACCCATGTGTTTGTGTGTGTGTGCCCATGTAAATTTTGTTACTCATACTAGCTATGAACAATTATCTCCATACAGAAACTTGTCGCCTACACACCCCAACATGATGTCCTTAGCTACGCCAATGCGCCTGCCAGGTGGTCCACGAATACCGCTGCGCGCACCAATTCCGCGCGATTACGGTAAGTGAAAAAGCGTTTTTTTTTACAGTTAAACAGTTAATGCCACTTAATTTAGTGTAAATGCCTACTAAAATAATAAAATGTACTGTTTGGATGATTAATATTTTATATGTACATACTTATATGTATGTATGTACATACATACATACATACATACATAGTACATAAATATTTGTTATGTACATTTTAAATTTAGAACTTATATTTATTAGTTACTTTTTGAGAAAAATAAATTAATTAATTAAATAGACAGCAAACTTTTTAAACGAATAAATCACAAAAATCAATTGCTTAAGAATACATGAAAAAGAAAATTTTCATACGCTGATGAATGGCGAAAAACTAGATTTGCAGTTGACATACACAGCTACTTTGTACATACATACATATGTTTGTAGATATGTATGTACATAGGTAGCTGCCCTTTTACCGATTGGAAAAGTTTTGAAGCAATCGTAAAAAGCAGGCGTAAAGCAGCAGAAGTAATTGTAGCAATATCAGCCATTACGTACAAATCTATATATTTACTCGTATTTCGCTAGGCAAACTAAAAAGTATATGTCGTTTACATGCATACATAGATGCATACATACATACATGTGTACATATACATATAAAGCAAATCATATCCTTGGACAGACCTATTTACATATCCGCAGATCTTTCATCTTTAGTTTTAGCAGTTTTTGCTGATGGACCAGCCGTTTCGCACTTCTAATTTTTTGTTAATTTCGCGGTTTTGATCAAACTCGTGTTACTAAAAATTCCTAGGCTACATTTACCAAAATGCCAAATACTTTCAAATTTGCATTAAAATACATAACAGTTAGTATATACTCTGCCGGCAAAAAGTATTGGCGCAGTGGCTTTTCTACAATATATGCAACATTTTTTATGAACCATATTTTTATAAAAAAAAATGAGGAAAAATATTGGAATGAAATTGGTGCATAAATTGTGCAAAATTCGCTGTGCCAATACTTTTTTCCGGCAGTGTACATATTTTCGAAATTTCAATTCGAGAAGTCAGTCGGATAAAGTGTGTCTATATGAGAACACAGGCCAACAAAATTTCAAAAAATGTTTGCAGCATAGAATATGAACGCTGATGCTCATAAGTGTTTTTCCGTAGAATCAGTATCTGAAATTAGAAAAATTAGATTGACTCCAGTTTTTGAGACATTTTCACTTTAAAGTGCCAAAATACTCATTTTTGGTATATTTGAAACATCTATGTATATTGGATTAACGGGGTTTGTTGAGATCTTTTAAGTAAGACTGCGAACGTAAGTTACAAAAACAAGTTTAAAAAAATATATGCAGCAAGTAGCTATAACACGACATTTTCTCAGTTATTTTAAAATTTTGAAAGAAATATGCGGAAATGTTCGCCTTTTTGCTTGCCTGTGCATTTTAAAAACTTTTAAAAAATAAACACTGCCATACATTTTTTTTGAACTTTCGGGATAAAAGAACAGGTTTTAAGCTTTCTTTACATATTATTAAAAATATTCCATCATGTATTCCTTTTATGTTATAAACGTTTCAAAATATGCTAATAATTCGTTTTTTGCCAGCTTTAATTCAAATTGCGTACAAAAATCTATAGGAATCAGCTTTTATTGACTCTGCCGCAAAATTTTATTGGCAAGTGTAATTAAATATAACAGTGTTATGCTTGTCAATTTAATTTTTTTTTCGTGTTAGCTAGGGAATATAAATCTTAAATGATTTACAGTGACTGAAACAAGTGTTAACGGATTGGCTTTTTTTTTTATATTCCCAACGTTTATCAAGTAATTTTTTTTTTCTATGAAAAAATTGCCCAAGCTTTAACCAAAACCACCCAAATCAAAGTTTCAAACTTCATGCAAATCCGTCAGCAAATTTTTTAAAACCAAAGCAATTTTTTTTTTTTTTAACCGAAATTTTGTTAAATTTTCCTAATTTTTATATAGTTTTGGTTAAAACTTAGACAATATTTTTCATAGAATAATAAAAAAAAACATTCACTTGAAAAGCATTTTACAAAAAAATTAACTGTAACATTTTTTTTTTCAAAGAAGCCAATGACATATCGTTGTTTTTTCAGTCGGTATTTTTTTTTAGACAACAGACATATAATAGAAACTAAAATTTTAGAAATCTGTGAACAAGGTCCAAAATTATGCGGTAGCATACACAAAAACACAACAAAAAAAACAGTATTCCGACGAATTGAAAACCTTCCTCCTTTTTGTGGAGTCGGTTAAAAATTTAATCGCTTTTTCAGCTGCTTGTTTGTATAAACAAGACACTAGTCGTTGTTACTTAGATCAATAGTAAACTGTTATTTTTAATCGAAAAAATAAAAGTAACACCTTAGCTGCAATTTTTGTTTGAGAAAATAAAAGGCAAATATTAACAGTTATTTACGCTCGGAAAATAAAATTCAAATATTAACTGTAATTTTTTAACGAAACAATAAAAGACTGAACTTGTATCTTTGATCGAAAAATTTTAAGTTAAATTTCAACTCTTAATTTTTTATTACAAATTTAAGTCAACTTTTAACTCTTAATTTTTGATCGAAAACATATCGATGAAAAAATAACTATTATTTATCGACTTTTCTGAAACAAAAACATAACAGTTATGGCCCCAGCGGAATAAAGGCTAAGTCCAATATATAAGTTTTTTCGCTAGTAATCCCTGGATTTGCATACATATATGTATATGTACATATGTATATGTGTCAGTGGGTCGAAGGAAAATGAATTTTTTTTNATAGCTTCTTTTGTAATCGATGTGTTATCACTACTATATACTTACATACAGATAAATAACTGTTTAGTTTGTGTAATCAAAATTAATGTTGCACTTTCAATTCTTGTTACATTTCTATTGAAACACAAAAATTTGCAAAACTTTATGAGCAACTTAGTTGTGTTAGTTTTATACTTCATTTAATTCATTTCTCCATCTAATAAGCGTGTATGTATTTTTTTGGTTTTTTTTTTATTAGTCTGCCTGCATGTTTTCGATGTTTTTCTTAATGCTGCTAATCTTTAGAGTCACTAAATAAATTTGTTTTTATTCCATTTTTTTACAATACAATATACTCCTCATATATAGACAAGTTTTTTTCTAAATGTTTTATTCAATTTAAATTTAAAACAAACTCAACAAAGACAACAGTAACTAAATGCATAAATTCAATGTTTAGTAATTTTAGTGATACATTTCTTTTTACTTACCTTAAATGTTGCAAATGCCTCTACGTATAGTGAATTTTAAGCACCCCGTATACTATTTGATGCTCTAACACCGGTAAGTAATTCATTTAGCGGAACCGCCTTTCCATACATCAGCGTACGCTTCACTGTGAATATCAGAAAAGAAAAAAAATAATACTGAAGCAAGTGAGGGCTAATAAAAAAAAAAAAAACAAAGTACCAAAAAGACGCATAATAAGCAAAATGGAATAAAAACAAACAACTCACCTAAAATGAAAGAAATTAAATAGACGAACAATCGCTAATCAGAAATTTAAACAATTACCAAATTTTTAGCACACCACACCTATTATATACTTGTAAAACCTCCTAAGTGTTTCCTACCCATATAAGTTGTTTTTAGGATCACAACCCTAACAATTTTATTAGCAAAGATCCTTTAAGAAAAGCGTTCCTGAGCAAACACAGCGAGGTCTGCCTACAATCGATTGCAATAAAAGTTTTCCTTACACAGTACGCATTTGGATAGACACATTTTGACGAACACGAAACCATATGTATATCCCTAAACATACCATAAGAACCTGTACAAACCGACAAGTAACTTCAAATTGACGCTTCACTATTAATAATATAATGCTGACTGCACACGACGCAACAGTCACAGCAACATGACAAGACTATAGTATACCACTTACTATGACATGAAAGTGATACAATTTAATTACACTCCCACAACCTAGTGCGCTCATAACTTGTAGCTTAATAAATACTTAGTTTGTTTTAGTTTTGATTATTTACTATGTTTTTGTTCGAAATTTTAAGTAGTTAATTTTTGGCACTTTTTTTTTTTTTGAAAACAAATTATCGTTCTTGAGAAATGTGGTATCTATGCAAAAGTTTATAGCAAATCCTATCTGAAATAGACATTTCTATATACGTCTCTGATTTCAAGTGAACAACTAATTAAGGAATCAATTCCGTGTTGTCCGTAGCGGAGTTTATAGAGATGGATAGAAAGCTTTAAAAAGCCTTGCACGCGATCTACATTTTTTGCTAAAGAGATTGTATTTGGACAGTTGAATTGCAACGTAGTACTTCAAGTTTATAAATTCCTGTAAACTCTTTGCTTCGGTAACTTTAAAAGAAACGAAAAAATGGAATGATGTCGGAACCATCTCAATCAGGCAGATCGACAATGCAAAGAATTGACTATACTATAGGTAATCGTTGAGCATTTTTTAAGACTACAAGGAATTTAAGCATCGGCAGAAAACGACTTTTTCCTGCGGTGAACCAAATTTTTAAGACAATTGTGATCGCCAAATGTTTCTCGAAATATCCACACGTTAATTTCTGGGATTAACTCAAAACAAGCCTCCAAAATTGCTTCAAAAAATATTCAAAGAAAATAGGATATAAAGAAAATACCGTTTTTGGATTTCAAGATTAAAAAGCCATTAGAAAATTACCATTTTCACTATATCGAAACATAAATCTTCTTTTTGCAGTTCCCCTGGTCGTCTTCTAAATTTCTACCATAGAGAAACGGATTCGAATATGACTAATTTTTTAATCATTCTCTAGACGAACCAAAATTCAAAATTAAAGAGAACTTTGTTCTCACCTCCAAAACGCTACTCAAATATGTTGCTGTATGACCAGTGGTCACCAATGTATTGACTACTCACATACATTCGTAGGTAGGTAAACCAATTTAAAAGCTTTGAACCGCTCGGCTAGGCACCGCTTCCTTTGTACACGCACGTAAACTTAGTTGCTTAGAAATTGAGTACAGAGTGAATGAAATCCATTTGCTTTTGGTATTGTTACGAAATCCACTTGTACTGAAAGCGTGAGGAAAAGTCCAGTGAAAAAGTAGATATCGGAGCCGCGAAATAAGCTTGCTGCACACCAAAAGAAAAAAATAGAAAACAATTATTTAGAAAAGATACTAAAAAAATGCCCTTCACCTCATAATGTAACCAAAAATATTTTTCTACCAAATGCAAAATACACTAAATCTACTAAAAGTTATAAAAAACTTTTTCTTAGATGTTGCTCGGACCAGGGATCGAACCCAGGCCCTACGGAGTAGTAGTATTTCTAACCACTCAGTTCAATCAAGAAAACTACCTGTGCTGATTTACATAAAGTGTTGTGTTCCCTTATGACAGCACCGAATCACACGCAAAAATTAAGAGCGCTTGGTTGGGAAGCTTTCTTCATGCATCTACAATCGAACTTAGACCTTGTGCCATTTTTTCAAATCTGTTCCGGTCTCTTAGGGTCGAAACATAGTGGAGCGGTGAGCAAATCGAAGAGCTAACATCGAGCAAAGCTTCAATAACAAACGTGTATGTATGCTTTGCTCTTCTCTATGCGCTCTCCCATTGAAACATATGCGTTGGAAATCGACGCTTTGCTCGATGCTCTTTGCTTGCCGCTCCGCTATGTTTTTACCATTAGAGATGCTGAATTTACTTCAGCAAAGTTTTACGGAAGGAGACATTATGATTTTATCTTAAAAATGGAACAAGCTTTATCTTAACAACAATTTTTGAACGCTCTCTTCATCTTAATCCCACTCAATGATGGTCGCAAAAATTCAAATGGTCTTTTAGTATCAATCATTTGTTTGAAAACTTGACTATTTTTGCATAAGTAAATATTCATTTAAAATATGTTAGCCTTATTCGTCTGAAACTTTTCGTTTTTTGAAAGGAATGAGGTCGTAGAAATATTAAACCAAATGAAAAGCGAATCTACCAAACTACCAAAATTAAAATTTAGAAAAATATTCCACCAAATTTGAACGTATTCTATTAAAACGGCAACACTGAATGTGCTTGTAATCGAGTTGCATAAGCTTCATTTGTCGAAATTGCTCGATTTTAATTTCAGCATTATTAGTAGATCCACCATTGCATTTAAGCTAGTTTTAATTTAAGAATATACAAAACAAAAAAAAATGGATACGTTTAAAATAGATTTTGCACAAAGGAGGGTTTTTGCTATAAACTTTTGCTGTGCGCATAACTGCATTTAAATAATTTAATTTTCTTTCTAAATTCTTTAAGTCTTTTTTATTTAAGATAATTTGTTATTTTTGTACTTTTCAAAATTTGTAAAAAAAAAAATTGTTTAATTATAATTTTTTAGAAGAAAAATTTGAAAAAAAGCACAAAAAGAATACCACAGCAAAATTTTTCCCAATTTATAGATTATGATTACGACCTTTATGGTTATTCGGATTATCGTGGCGGCTACAATGAATCCTATTACGACGATTTTTATCGCACCTATGATGGAGAGTACTTCTTTGATTATCCACCGAGCGGTGTAGCACCATTTCCAACTGGTGGACCCGCTGGTGGACTGCAGAGAACGGCCAGAAACAATGTGGTGGGTCTAACATTCTTCTAATACTACTTACTACTACTATAACTACCTACTATAACTACTAGTACATACTACCACAACTGTTAATAAATACGATTCTCACTAGTACATAGTTGTCTACAACTCCTGCCACTCCTGCCATTACAACAACAGTTGTATACTTTGCAATTTCGTAAACATAATTTTTTTTTTTTTGTAAAAAAAAACACCACAGCAGCAGTTAACAATTTTTGCATTCGCATATAACTACTTATTGGTATTTGAAGCGAGACAATAAATGAATTGCTATTACATATTTATTCATACAGTTGGTGGTAAATTGTATACTTTCTTGTAATTTTCAAAATTTTCGTAGAACTACGCGCTAGTAGTGTTGAAGCATATTTTCTTTATAATTGATTTTATTATTCTTTTCATGCTTTTAATTGTATTGTGATTTTAATTTGACTTTTTTTTTGGCTTACACAAAATTTTATGCAAAACAAAAACAAAAGTACACACATACGGATAGAGACAAAGTTACACGTGATCAAAATTTGAACATTATCAACTACGACATAATCAGCAACGACAGCGTGAAGACATCATCAAAAACAAAAACTTCAAAACTGCCATTACCCGGCATCAAAATTTCGGCCTCACTCATATGCTTTCAGGGATACTTTTTTGAAACCACGTCTAGCAATTACATTACATACATACATAAATATAATGCATCTAGTGTTTTTTGGTTTTTTGACTTTTATTTAACAAGAAAATGTGTTTTGTTAGCTTACATTTGAAATTTCGTCCGTCCTGTGAGCGTTAACCCTAAAGTGCACCCATCCACAACTAGTAAATTAAGAGTGTAAACAAACAAACCGCCCTAGATACAATTTCATCCAGCATCTAGCATACACTTTCTTGTGTTTCTAATAAGCCTTAGATACTAAGATTATTATTATTATTATTTTTTTTTACATGAAAAATTTTAACACTTTTTCATTTAACCATGCTTATTATTTATTGCGTTTCATTTTATAATTTTTAATCTAAGTGCTTTTTATTGAATTGGAATTGGAAAGCTTTTTTTGTTCATTTGATGCTTATTTGCTTTGTTAATTTATTTAATAGTTAGAGAAATATTTTTAAGCTAGGCATTTTGATGCTAAGTGGCAAAGCAAACTATCTATTGGCTGTGGTTCTGTACAAAAGAAAATAAAATGGAAAAGAGAACCAAAATGGAAATGAAAAATCAATGCGGTTAAATCTTTTTTATTTTATATTTATTTTATAAATATTACTACTCAGCTGGAGTATGCAAGCAACAAGGCATACAAATGGTTTGGTTTAATTTTATAAAGCTTTTTTGTATAGTATATAAAAAAAAATGTTGAGCTGAATGAAGTGTGCTAACAATTTGTATTTTCTTATTTTTAAAACTACATTTTTGAAATCTAGGGAGCTACATACATATCGCTGCCTTGCTGGAAGAAAGCGATAATAAAAAACAAGTGTTTTTTAATATGCAGAAGATAGCGTTGTTATTTATTTTATGCCGTGTAAAAAAAAAATTATAACGACATTTGACAAATATGTATTTATGTACATATACATATACAAAACTTGCGCAAGCTTGTTTACCATCAAACAAATGGCATGAGGAAACAAACTTAATGACTTCTATTTTTAACCCAATGACAGGCATTGGTTTCTTTAATGCCCAATTTTCTCAATAAAAATTTTTGTTATTTAATATACGGTAACGGGTTCAGATCTTTTCACATTAGGGCGATTCGATATGACCACAGATTTTATTTTATAAATAAACCACGAGAAAATTTATATATTTTTTAGTATATGGCATTTATGTATGAAACCCAATATCCGTTAAATGCGCGCCACGATTTCGACTTTTACTAATAGTTCGGGCTGTATATCATGTATAACGCGTATGATTTCGTTCTTCAGCTCTGGAATCGTCTCAGGATTATTGGCATAAGTCATAATTCTCACGTAGCCCCAGATAAAGAAGTGTAATTATGTGTATCAAAAAAAGATAATGTGTCCTGGGAACTTCGTAGGCAATAGGGCCATTGTTTCTTGCGATGTGTGGCAAGCACTTTCCTATCCATCTATCAACTTCTCACAATTTTTCTAAGTAAAATCTACCACTCGTAATTTTTTCGAAGTTCGCGCACTGATTGCTGGTAAAGCCGGCACTAAGATTTTTGTATATCCAACTCGTACAGTGAATATGTGTAACTTAAATTTCATTCACACCAATAGCTCCTTCGGTTTCGAGTGTAAGTAGGATAAAAAAAGAAGAAAATACTTACATACTTAATTTTTAATTAATTTTAGTTTGCTTTTTGTTG